ATATACGCCAGAAACGACTCCGCAAAACGGTTTCCCTGAGAGGTTGCTACAATCCTCTCGGACCCATCGGACGTTCGCAAATTGACTGTCTTCGCAAAGCAGTCAATACTAGCCTGGTAGGAGGATAACCAAATCATACCAAGGATAACATCAAACCCGAACATATACAACGCTATCAAATTGACAACAAACCCTGACTTGTCTAATCTGATGACATATCTCCTATAGATAGAGTGGACACCTCCCCTAGAGGAGCAGATACTGACAACGGAATATCTAAAGAATGTGTTACAAGCTGAAGCCTATCAACGGAGGTATGAAAGATAAGCGAATTTTCTAAATCAAATTAGATCCGAGCTGAAAAGAAAATCTTGAATAAAGCTCTGCTCGTATCCTGATCATGCGGTACTACAGAATAGACTCTGCTGGATAATGCAAATATGGCTTGCTGACCCTTAATCCTCGGATTAATAAGTAGTGCCTCCATTTTCCCACTACTAGCTGAAATTACGACTCTGAGACTGTCGTTCGTGACCTCTATCTTGCTGGCTTCCTGCTTGTGTACTACGATAAGTCTTTCGCTCTTTGTTTGATCTTGTTCTGATTGTAACATGTACTCCGAACTCTGCGCTACTTCGGCGCTCTCGAATCATATTGTGCTCCTTTCTTATGTTATCCTTGTTGCTGGGTTAAAATCATTCTCCCACTGCTAGGATTCTCTAGTTTCCGTAATAGTTCTCTTGCCATTGGCGTTTCCACTATTCTGATTTTGATTTCTTCCTTCACTATGGGCATGTCTCCCTGCTTTACTTAGACTAGCTCTAACTGCAAGTAGTGACCAAAAATTCTCCTGAATAGGTGATAATTGCTACCCCATCAAAAATCTGGATGTTGTTGCTATCCTCCAGCGATGCCCTCAGTGCTGAATACATCTAACTTTTGCTTGGTACTAAGTCGATGTTCAAGGAATTTTCACATACTCCTTCCCTTATAGGCTGCTAATGAAGTTGGTGCGTCTTGAAACTCTGGTGCTCTCATTGTCTGATATCTTTCTTATTCTTTCAGAGCTAAACCTCCTGCTCTATGGTTCTATAAATAGCTGATTGTGGTGGTGGTGCCTTCATAAGTATTGCTTCTTTACTTTCACGACGGGTACAACCGGTGATGGAACTCCTTAAAGTGGTGCTGCTGATGTAAACAGATACACTTCTTGCTCCTCGAGTGTTGTAAGATCTTATTGCTAACGGTGCCATGAAGTCGATCAAATACTATGGAGCCTGCTACGGCTCGGCTCTGCATGCCCAGCTCTCCAGGTATGAGTTTTACCTCGACCACATCCTCGTTTTGATATTTATAGTATCAAAAGGAGAGCTTAATTATCACAGTAAGTGAGATAATAAAAATATATATACAACGCATCACAATACGAATTCATAATACATAGTATTCACGCAAATACCTTCAATCAACATAAAAATAGTTATAAAAAAAATATTCTCAAATTTTGAGATATACGCATATATCGTCATCACTCATACTAGAAAATCCTTACGGACTCTATACATGAATCCTAAGAAACTCTATCCTAGCTCCACGACTCGACACAGGATGATCCTAAGGATACTGGAACTAGAGCTCTGATACCAACTGTGATGCCCCTGGGTTCACACAAGGCTGCAGTCCAAGGTGAAACCAAGAATGTCAAACCTGCCATGCACCACACCGTACAATAACATCAATAATAGGTGTAGGTACAAAAGCAAGTAAAAAGTACTACAAGAGATAACTGATGAAATGATAGAGATCAAAATAATATTTCATCATCCAACATACAAGAATACAAAGTCAATGTTTGAAATGAATAAACTGGAGTTCATAACAAATCTCAAATACAACAAGTCTGAGTAAAGGAAATAAGGCACACAGCCTTTACACATCTAGAATAAAGTCAGCTGAACACTAAAGTGTGTCGCCATCAACCTGCGACTCTCCGGGCTCCAAAATAAAACATATCTAAAAATATTCAGCTGAACACTAAAGTGTGTCGCCATCAACCTGCGACTCTCCGGGCTCCTGGCTCGTTACCTGAAAGGGGGAGGGACAACGAGCGTCAAAGCGCTAGCGAGCAACATCACAACCAACCCCAAGGGAAATAGCTCATTGTATACAGAAAGTATAGTTATTACATAATAGTTAAAATCATTACTCCTAGCAAATAATGGGTTTTAGTATTTAGGAAATTACAACACGAGCATAGGTACGTCGAGCGAAATAATCCAAACAAGGAAACCCTCATGTATATACCTTTTATCTCAAATTGTAAATCCCTAATTACCAAACCCGAAGTCTAATACATGAATAATAAACTAAAAGAAACAGCCCATCTTAATACTTAATCAAAAGTCACGCTGAAACCATATAAGTGTCAAAGGTCAATATCACATAAGTGTCGTATCCTGTCAAGGTAGCTATCATGTCCAAATCTCATGTAATCATGTCATATCCTAATTCAGATAAGTGTCATACTCATAGCTTAACAAATGTCCAAGACGTGGTCAAATATGTAAATGTCCAACACGATGACTGAAATGGATTATAGTCCAACACGAGGACTTTAGTGGATTATAGTCCAACACGAGGACTTTAATGGATTATAGTCCAACACGAGGACTGAAATGTGAATGCATGTCCAACACATGGACTGAATAAAATAGGTGTCCAACACATGGACCGAAATGATAAGTATCCAACACATGGATTAATAGTAACGTATGCCCAACACATGGATTATAAGTAAAGAGGTGCAATTGTCAAAGGTATATGTGGAAAGATATACATATCCTAAACTCACACGTGTCTCGATATGCGGGTCTAAACTTGTGTCAAAAGTGTCAACTCACATGTATAGACAAGTCACTATCATTGCAATATAGTGTCAGATAATCGAGGCGACCCCTCGGACGTATAAAATACACAACCAAAATAAATACATACACAAACAGTGCGGTGGTCGACCGCAGAGACCACTCCGGTCGACCGCGCATAGGGCAGAGACATTCTGCTCGACAGAACGCCCAGCGGTCGACCGTCGCGTCACACGCGGTCGACCGCGAAACGGACAGAAGCTTTTTCCAGGTTTCTGTTCTTCTTCGAAATCGATCCAAACAATACACCCATTCTTCCAAACAATATATTACTCATTCTAATACATATGAATCATCATATAATAACATCTAGCATTTAAACAAAATCATCACCAAGATTTGTGAACTTATATACACATGATTTAAAAGTTATAAAACAGTAAATCGAAATTTTAACTCTTAATAAAGCATTTTTAGATTTAGATCTCTTTAACCAAAATCATTGGTGAGTATTTAAAAACTGAAATACTTGGTTTTCACATCTCATATCATAAAGATCTATCTATATACGCAAAGTAGTGATTTAGGCTCAAGAAAACTCATTAAAATCGTTAGAAAAGCTTGTAAAAACATAGGTGAGAGATTGGGCGAGATGTTACTCACCTCTAAGGTGAACAAAGCTCCTGGATTCACAAGAGAATGATCCCCTTTGCTGATCCATACAAAAATCCGTCGCAAATCCTTCGAACTCCTCAAAAATCACCAAAAACGAAGTTAGGGTTTGAGAGGAGAGAGAGAAGGGGGGCTGAGGCTATTAGGGTTCAAAAAAAGGTTCTGAGAGCTTCAAAACGAGTATATATAACTAAGATAACAACCGGGTTTGGTATAAATAAAACCAACCCGAAACAGAACTGAAACTGGCGTCTGCACGCCCAGTGGTCGACCGCAGCGACCACGGCGGTCGACTGCTCAGAGTTCTGGGCCGTGCTCAGACTGGGGTTCGGTAAAAAGATTGTAACTTTTTCATACGATCTAGGAATGAGGTGATTTAAGATTTTTTGGAAAGCTATTGAAGAGACCTATAACTTTGATCTTATACACTTTTCTAGATTCTAACTGAATAAGTATGCAAAACATAGAAACTCTCAACTGGTCAAAATTCTCAGATTTTCACTCTTGGCCTTTGTGCATGTTTTGTTTATTTACACTCATATATTCACAAATATACATTGAATTGATCTCAAATCAATTCCTATCATATACACTCATATATTCACAAATATACATTGAATTGATCTCAAATCAATTCCTATCATACTCAAACATCAAATTATATTATTTTCACCATATAACATATTTATAATTATTTATCACACTATATTCAAATTTTTGGGGTTTTACACGCTCCCTCTCCGATCCTCTCCTCCTCAGCCTGACCTCTCCTCCTCAGCCGCCGCCTCCTCTCCCGTTGAAACCCCCAAACTCTCCTCTCGATCTCTCTCTCTCTCTCTCTCAAACTCTGCCTCCGACCATCTCCCCAGTGTCGCCGCAGCTAGCCTGACCTCTCCGCCTCAGCCGCTGCCTCCTCTCCTGTCGAAACCCTAACCCAACTTTGCCTGCATCCTCCTCTCCCTTGAAAACCCTAACCCTAATTTGCCCGCCTCCCTTCCCCACAAATCCTTAACCCTAATTCTGCCTCCTCCTTTCTCTTACATCCCTCTCTCTCCAAAATCCCCCAAGCTCCACCTCGCCGTCACCAGTAGGAGCGCGCAGCCACCACCTCCTTCTCCTCTATCAGTTCTTCGGTCGCTGCCTCCTCCTCCATCTCAGACATCTAAGCTCGCTGGTGAAGGTAACGTTATGATGTAATAGAGATATTTTGCATTAGATCTCTGCTTGGATAACAATGTTTGATTCTTTGCTTGATAGATTAATTAGTTGCATAATGTGGTATAATTTATTTTCTTTTAGACCACTGGATTTGTATCATTATTGGAAAAAAGTGAATGAGCGTCTTCTCTTCTCAAATTAATTCTTATTTTGTCCTTTTGCATTTACTGTTGCTTTCTTGCCCTTTTCCTTTTAGTAAAGTGTAATCTGATAAGTAGAATGTGAGTAGTGATCATAATGCTTCCTGGTAGTATAGAGATGATCTATTTAGACTCGTTGATGACTAATATTGTTCCATCAATTTAGATTTTTACAAAAAATTCAGACTATCTGTGGCGCTGATTGCTTATCTATATGCAAGTTTGTAATTTCTTCTGTTTTCTTTTTGTAATCCCAAGTTAATTGAACTATAATTTTTTTACTCCACGTTACAGAAGGTTGTTTGAGCCACCGGAGGTTGAAAGGTATTATTTTACACTTATTAAATATTTTGTCATTACACAATGTCAATATACTTCTCTATGTGAATGTTCTTTGAAACCAAGCAAAAAAATATACTATCATAGGTGTTAACAAAATTTTTAGAGTATATAAATGAGTATACTATCATAGTGTGAGGGGTGTATCTATAATTAACCCTTATTATTGGTGACTAACTTGGAATTTGGTGATGTTGTGTTGTAGGAGATAAAGTTCTCTTGGTTCAGAGATGGAAGAGTTTGCATGGCAAACTCTGGCTGGCCTTAATCCCCTTAGCATTCAGTTGGTTACTGTAAGCTCAGATTTTCCATTTTGCTATGGATATGTTGGTAGAAAACAACGCAAAAATCAATCCGCGTATTTTTTATATTTGACTTCATAATCAACAAAATATTGCATTTTTGGGATTTTATGTGTAGATATACATACATATGCATGTGTACGTTTGCTTGTTCATGTTGTATTTATGCATATGTATGTCTGTACGTAAGATTATATGTTGTGCATATATGTCTTGATATATGTATGTATGTCTATATGTTGTGTATGTATGTATGTGTATTGCATATTTATCATCTTTTAAGCAATGATATAGGGATAATTGGTATGTAAATGTTAAGAGGAGGTATTCTGGCCATTTTAATGTTAAACTTTTATTACAAACCCCTTGGAGGTGTTGCCTTCCTCATTTATTCAAATTAATATTGTTTTACTCCAATACTTATCTCAAAGTTTATTGCACCGTGCAGGGATTACCATTTGTTAGCAACATATCCTACAGAAGAAACTTTTCAGGCATTATCTTGTTAGTCTTGGGAATTAGAAGATACAACACTATATGGATCTCATAGAGTATTCTTTCTAACTCCTGAAGGAACACTGAGGCCTATAGCCATTGAACTTACGAGGCCAAAACCCCCGACAAAGCCTCAGTGTAAGCGCATTTTTACGCACTCATGGGATGCTACTGGGACTTGGTTGTGGAGGCATGCTAAGACTCATGTTTGTGCTCATGATGCTGGGTTTCACCAACTTATAGTCACTGGTAATTCTGGTTATGCCTTTTCTTGTTTTGTCTCGTGAAACTTGACTGTTCAAAGTTTGTGTGAAGCTAAATATGCTGCGATCAGATTAAATAAAAAAAGGTGACCTCTCGCATCACAAGCAAGCTCCTCTGCTAGCTAGTCCTCTTCCTTGTGCTAGAGAATATTATATGACACGATATATTTGTTGGCCTTTTTTATGAGAAAAACTTTGTTGGTCCCTTTTATGAGAAAAACTTGGTCAATAATTCAATATGACCATCAACTTAATTATTATTATCTAGTTCTTCTGAAAGTCAAATCATTAAAGAAACAATGTACACATTTTCTCTTACCCTTTAGGGGATCTTAGATGTTGGTTTAAATAGTGTTCATTTGTGTATGTGTACTTCATTTAATAAGATCCAAGTCTTATATGTATCTGATGATACCTAATGTATGGTTCAAACTCGAGCTCTTTTAGACAATATCTAACTAGATGTTTATTATTTCAAGGAACACGGTCAATAGTTTAATTTTTTAAAATTTTGCCATGTGAAATTTAATATTGAAATATATAACAGCAAGTGTTGCATACTAGTGTTACAAAAAAAAGGTTTGTTTGAATTGCTGTGAGTATAAAGCTAGGTGTATGTTAGCTTGTCGTACTCTTGATTTCAATGGCTGTGAGTATAGAACATAGGAAAATGTCAAGAAAAGAACCGTTAAAACTATTGTCACATTGAAGCAGGACATTCCTTTGGCACATTGTCTTGATCATGAGTACGACTCGATGGCTTGCACAATTGAAATTGTTGATGATGTACATTCTGCAATTGACCAATATAAATCACCATGGAAGGTACGTTTCGGTATATCCTATCACCCATTTCCTTAACTTTAGAATTTAGATGAAGGGTTTATGATTGGCATTAGCTCGCAAACTCATATATGGAAGACGACTCAAGATGATGTTGTTGTCTCATCTGGACGACTCAAGACAAAAATGAAGGAGGAGCCGAAGCCTGAAATGACAACGACAATGCTCTCTCATCTGGACGATTTCAAGCAGCAAGCTGAGTATGTGAAGTCTAACTTCAAAAATTGCACCATCATGTCATAGTTTTAATCTTTGAGATACTCGCTTAATTAAGTTGATATCTCTTCTTCTTCTTTTTTTTTGGTAAATTTGATGTTTGTTCTTACTTTTTTTTCAATGTGATTTAGTATTACGATTATTTTGCTAATGAGTTGTATCAATTTGTGAAAAAGTGTCTGTTTGATACCAAAGTAACAGAAAGTGGTCAACTAAGAGCCTGTTGGTTCGCAAACCAACTCCATGAAACTCATTTTTTCGCTTTGGCAGTGGCAGGTTGAGAAAAAAAATCTCCCCCGATTTCATTTTTACTGTTTGGTTCGGTTAGGGTGATAGGAAAAATTTGCACAGCAAAGCCATGCCGCGTTGGAGCCCCCCCCTTCCCCCCAACTCATTTTCTGCCTCCCTGTTTCCTCTGATGCTGATTGAAATCCTATGATAGTTCTTGGTTGATCTATGGAGGTACAGTTCTAAAAATGCAATCTTTTTTAATTTATTTGATTTTTTGTGTTTTCTTTTGTTGATTTTCTTCTTCCTATGCTTTATTAGGTTTAAATTTTGGGTGATTTATCCGTCGATCCCCATTATGATTTGTGAAACTTGCTTTAGACCCCTAATAGTTGGTCGATCTGTAGATCTTGGTGACTCTCTGCGGTGATTCTCTATTTTCACATTGCTAAAAGGAAATTAATCTGTTTATTCTGTGTTTATTCTGCGATGATTCTCTATTTTCCACATTGCTAAGTAATCTATTTATTCTGCAGTTACTCTATAGATCTCGGTGATTTCCATTACGATTGTTTTTCACACTGTTCGATTTTTTTCAAACTGCAAGTTATATTCTGGATGTTTTTTGGTGATAAATCTGCTGATATTTGATAGGCTGACTTGCTATTTGATAGACTGCATGTTTAAAAAATTGTTTGAGGCTAATATATATTTTCTGTTGTATGTTTTCAGGCTGCATGTTAAAAAGACTTATGTATGTTCAGTTCATACTTGTGTTGTTGCTATTTGATTGACTGTCTTGGAGTAAGTTTGATTATTGGTCAAGCATATAGTTTTGACATGACTGTAAAATGACTAGTTAATTGTTACTTTGTTGTTGACGATTGAGACTGTAAAATGACCAAGTACGGTTTTACCAAGTGTATTTGCAGATAAATAGCTAGCATACTCATGTACTCTATATCAAGTTTGTATAAGATGTTGGCAAATTATCTCTGTTTCATTTTGATGTCTTGGGCTATGTACTTTCCAATGGTATTTGTGCATAATTTTTAGGTAGGGTTTTTTTTCTTTTTTTTATTTGATTTGTTTAACAGCCCCAACGGTTGAAACCGTTGGGGCAAATATTAGCCCCAACGGTTTCAACCGTTGGGGCAAATATTTTTCTTTTTTTTTAAAGTAAAAAATATTTGCCCCAACGGTTGGAACCGTTAGGGCAAACTTGGCAACCGTTGGGGCTGAATCGGCCCCAACGTAATTTGTCCCAACGGTTTTTTTTTTAGCCCCAACGGTTCTAACCGTTGGGAACATGATTTGCCCCAACGGTTACAACCGTTGGGGCTGACCATCTTTTTACTAGTGAGAAAGCAGCAATCGACCTTATTTCAATGTCACCAAGAAAAAAGTGTCACTTCTTTTAAATGATTAGTTGGAGCGGTTACAGCGTATGTTAGCAGGCGAAAATTTCCCTGCTAACTTGCGCGTCCGCTGTGATCTCAATGGCGAAGAAGAAGAAATTTAGCGGGAAAAAAGTTCTTAGCTCTGGATTAGGAGCTTCGATCTCATCTCATATCAACATCGAAGTAGTTTGTTCTGAATGAGGAAAATAAACTTAGTTCAGATGACAATCTAGATCCTCCTCTTGAGAATTCAAAAATCCTGCTAAAAGCTGGGGTAGTTTGTTCTCTGATAACAGAAGACCTGGAAAAGGCATGGTCTTGAATTACTTACCTTCAGATACAAATGATTCAGTAATTTTTAATGAAGAAGAATGGAATGATGGTGCCTTAATGTGGTCTTCCTCTATAATTGGGCAAGTCCTTGGTTTAAATGTTAGCTTCAAGGCTATGAAGAGTTATGTGCACAAAGTTTGGTCTCATGTTCCTAAAATTTGTCTACTAAAGGCAGGCTTGTTCTTGTTTAAATTCAATGATAAAGAAGCTATGAATGAAGTTCTATGTAATGGTCCTTGGTTTTTTGGTTCAAGACCAATGCTCTTCAAACCTTGGACTATTGATATGGAAACCAATAAATCTGATGAGTGTTTGTATCCTTTGTGGATTCAATTGCTAGCTTTGAGACTGAATTTGTGGAATTCCAAGAGTTTAAGCAAAATTGCCAGCATTATAGGGAAGCCTATTGCAACTGATATGTTGACAGCTAATAAGCAAAGACTGTCATATGCTAGGGTATTGGTGGAGGAAGCCTATTGCAACTGATATGTTGACAGCTAATAAGCAAAGACTGTCATATGCTAGGGTATTGGTGGAGGTTAAAATGCCATCTCATCTAAGCAAAGACTGTCATATGCTAGGGTATTGGTGGAGGTTAAAATGCCATCTCATCTACCTGACCACATTACCATTCAAGGACCAAATGGAAAATCTTATAACCAGAAGGTGCTTTATGAGTTTAAGCCTAGGTGGTGTGATATTTGCAACTTTGTGGGCCATGATACCAATTTCTGTAAGAAAAAGAAAACCATTCAGAAATGGGTTCCTAAGGAAAAGCCAGTTATTGATGGACCCAACCCAGCAGCTCCTACTCTAGTTGTCAATCAGGAAGCTATCAAATAGAATAACAAAGGAAAAATCTAGTGCACATGAGGTTATGCAAGCTAGCAATCTCCAGTCCCCCATGCATGTTGTGCATGTTTCAGGGAATTCAGCTAGGCCTGTACATATTGAGAGATCTAGGCTGTATATAAATGTTGGAAAATCTATTGAAGGCAATGATAAAGGAAAATTTGTTACACAAGAATTTATGCAGATTGACAAAAACTGCCAGACAACAGCACATGAGATACATGGTTTTGGGAATTCTCCTAGTAAGTTGCTCATTCAGGGGAATTCTTCTATTAATGAAATACAGTATGCAAATAATCCAAGGCTGAACATATGCTCAGAACCTGCACATTTGGTAAATATCCTGGGGGAGGCTACTGAGGCCAGATCTGTGCATGTTGTGCACAGGCAATACCCTGAGTCTGGGAGTCCCAATGAAAATATCACCTGGATACCTGTTCAAGGTAATAAATCTAATATGCATTGCAACTATAATGATGTTCTTAGATCATCAAGCAAAAAGATTTCTGGTAACTCCTTACCATTGGAGAGCTTAGTATCTGACCCCTCTACTGTTGATAAAGGGTTTTCTATGAAATGAATCTATCTTTTTGGAATGTGAGAGGGTTAAATAAACCCTCAAAATAAATGTTGATCAAGCAACATATACAGTTCTACCACCTTTCCTTTATTTCTCTCCTGGAAACCAAAATCAAGGAAGCTAAAATGTTGAATACAACAAGAAGGATTGCTAAGAACTGGAACTGGCTTTCTAATGCTAGTAGCTCAGAGAAGGCTAGGATTCTTATACTATGGGATCCCAATATATTGGATATACAACAAATAAATCTCTCTAGCCAACAGATCTCATGTAAGGTCAACTCTATTGATGGAAGGTTTTCATGTGTGATATCATCAGTGTATGGCTATAATAATATGCAAGCAAGGAAGGACTTATGGTCTGAATTATCTCAAATCCACAATTCAATTGGTAGCATTCCTTGGCTTGTATGTGGAGACTTCAACACAGTGCTTTGTAGTGAAGAAAAATTGGGTGGCTCTGTTTTAACTGATGCTGATACAGATGACTTTAGTTCTTTTATCGAGAATTGCCAGCTCTCCCATCTAAAAATCATAGGATGTTTCTTCACTTGGAACAACAAACAAGATAAGGATACAGGAGTTTGGAGCCGTCTAGACAGAGCTCTAGTAAATGATGACTGGATTCATCAACTAAACTCTAGTCATGTGGAGTTCATGTTACCTAATTTCTCAGACCACTCTCCAGCTATTGTCTCAGTTTATGAAGACTGCTCTCAAGGTAAAAAGGCCTTTAGATTTTTTAAAATGTGGACAGCACTCTGATTTTCTACCCACTATTTCTGCCATATGGAATTCTCAAGTTCTTGGCTTTCATATGTATTCTGTATGCACAAAGCTTAAAAAGCTAAAAGGAGCTTTGCAATCTCTGAATAAAAGACATTTTGGGAATATAAGTGACCAAGTTATAAGAGCTAAGGTTGAGTTGGAAGATATTCAAAAGAAACTTCAGGCTGACCCTTTTAACTCTGGTTTCATCAATCAAGAAAGGAAGTCTATTCTTCTATACAATAAGCTCTTAGATCATGAGCTATCTTTCTACCAGCAAAAAGCAAGAATTGCATGGTCCATTCAGGGGGACAGAAATTCCAAGCTCTTTCATTCAGCCATTAAAGCCAATAGGCATAATAATATAATTCTGATCCTCTATAGCAGCCAGGGAACTGGGCTTACAGATAGGGATGAAATAGCTAAGGAGTTTGTCTCCTTTTATAATAACTTAATGGGTACTTCTGTACATACAACTGGACCTGAAGATCAAATTATACAACAGGGCACATGTCTGAATGCTTGCCAGGCCAAAGAGCTATCTAAGGCAGTCACCAAAGATGAAATTAAAAGAGCAATATTCTCAATGCCAGACAACAAAGCCCCAGGACCCGATGGATATAGTGCATCTTTTTATAAATCTACATGGCCCATTATTGGTGATGAGATCTCATTAGCAGTTGAAGAGTTCTTTAAATCAGGAAAACTACTGGGAGCTGTTAATTCCACTTCAACCACCCTCGTCCCAAAGATAAAATGTCCAAAAACACCTGCTGACTACAGACCTATTTCTTGCTGCAATTGCCTCTATAAAATCATTTCAAAAATTTTGACAACTAGAATTCAGGCTGTTATGGGGAGTATAGTAAATGAAGCCCAAAGTGCATTTGTGGAGGGTAGACAAATTTCAAATAACATCCTATTGGCTCATGAACTGGTGAAGAACTATGGAAGGAAACACTTATCACCAAGGATTATGATCAATATAGATATCAGAAAAGCTTTTGACTCTATAAGTTGGAATTTTATTCAAGGGATTATGAAGGGTCTGGGTTTTCCTTTGGTCTTTATCAAATGGGTTATGAGCTGTATATCAAATCCAAACTACTCTATTTCCCTGAATGGAAGCTTACATGGTTTCTTCAAGGGACAAAGAGGACTGAGGCAAGGGGATCCTCTCTCCCCCTATCTCTTTATTCTTGGAATGGAGTATCTGACGAGGAGTTTGAATATGCTGAAGAGTGATAAAAACTTCAAATTCCACCCCAAATACAAAAAGCTAAATATAACACATCTAATATTTGCTGATGATTTGCTCCTTTTCTGCAGAGGGGATTATTATTCTGTGAACAAACTTTTCCAATGTGTTAAATCTTTTGGAGCTTGTTCTAGGCAAATCCAGCCAAGTGTTCTATCTTCTATGGTGGGGTGTCGGAGGAAACAAAACATGTCATTAATAACTCTCTGGGCTTCCCTGAAGGAACTCTACCTATAAAATATCTGGGGTTTCCCTTGATTTGCAAAAGGAAGTCATACTTGGACTGTAATCCTCTGATCATGAAGATTTCCAACCAATTCCAAAACTGTCTGAAACACAAGCATTTATCTTATGCAGGAAGGATACAGATAATCAAAAGTGTCATATTGGGTGTCTAAATTTTCTGGACTTCTAGCTACATTCTTCTAGTTAAAGTACTACACAAGATTGATGAGCTATGAAGGAGTTTTTTATGGGGCAAATCAGATCAGGTGTTCAAGGCTTCTCTAGTGTCATGTGTTGGCCTTCTTGTTTTGATGATGTTTAACAAACAATTTATTACTAATGTTGTTTGTCTAGTGTCTGTGCATTCCTATGTATTGTAGACAAACAACGTAGTTGGAGGATGGATGGAATAGAGCTTCAACGATCATATCCAAAGGAATATATATATAGTTATATATATATACATAAGTTTTGGTTTCTATGCATATATATAGTTATATATATACATACATAGTTTTTGAGTTTT